TTGACATATCAATTTTCATGCTAAACGTTTCTTTTTAATCTTGAAAGCATCATRAATTCTGGTATGTGGCTCTTGGTTCTTGCGGTCCTCTTGATTGTGTAGTTTCAGCCAGGCTCCTGCGCAAGCACAGCGAAGCAAGTAAGCTKAATTCACGTTCACTATGTCTGTAATGTTAAACTGATTTTTGTCCTGAGTTTGCTATAGTGCTTTACAACTTAGCAACAACAAATTTTCCTCGTCTCTCATAGCCTCGAGGGAGACCAACAGCCGCTACCCCCTCCCCTCCCCTCCACGTTTTTCCTCTCCCCAGTCCYCCAAGAGCAGCTAAGCAGGCAACGGCTATCATTGGTCGAGAGTCGACCACGTGACGCGATCGTGCGGATTATCACTGCGTACAGCCCACCGCTTCAAAATATTTTGTTTTAAAATAAAAAAAAACAACACTTTTCAGATCGAATTTTGCTGCGTAGTTAAGTTGTTTTTGGACAGAATGTTCATAAGAACTCATTCAGTCATAGTTTCAATTTATTKGTTTTTTCGGAACATCCAGTTTCCGCAAGCAACAGCATAATGTCCTYGATTCAACTACTCAGTCTATACAGTACTTAACTTTATCCAGAAGAAAACATGTTTGGCTGTAGTTGTGATTACTTGTTTATCAAGACCATTAAATATTTCCATCACAATAGTCTTCTTCACGGACACCTTCGCTATCTTGAAAGGCAGCCGTGCCTTTGCATCGAAGCGAGACAAAGTACCGTTGAGCGTGCAATGATAGAAACCTGTGAATAATTGTCTGTAGGTGTGAAAGAAGGTTTCTATCATTGCACGCTCAACGGTACGTTGTCTCGCTTCGATGCAAAGGCACGGCTACCTTTCAAGATGGCGCATGTAACCGTGAAGGAGACTATTGCTGTTTTTCGCAGTCATATTAATAGTCTCCTTCACGGTTACCTACGCCATGTTGAAAGGTAGCCGTGCCCTGTATCGAAGCGAGACGACGGCTATCTTTCAAGATAGCTCAGGTAACCGTGAAGAAGACTATTGGCGACTTGCGAATATTCCAATTTCAAGGTCTTATTTGTGCAGCCTTTACCTCAAAAGCATGTAATATATACTTTTATTCAACAGAGAATCTATTGTAATTCAAACGTTCTGTTTACAAAGAAGACCACAAACATTTATGCTTGATTGAAGATAGGCTTTGCACAAAAGAGAATTCAAAACTGGCCGAGTATTTAGGAACGGACAATCAATATGAGACGCCGTGCAGAAAATCTAAGTCAACATAGTCAATCAATCGTGAAAAGATAATAGTTTTTCACGAATGACTGAGCTTTACGTACGGCGCCTCGTCTTGATTCTTTTATGTTTGACTAGTGCGACGAAATTCGAAAGTATATAAGGCTATTGTCCTTGGTGTTGATGGTAAAATGGCCATTTATTTTCAGCAGAAAGGGGACTCAAAACTGGGCGATCCGTTTGGACCAGCAAAGACGAACGTCAAATGTAAAAGTGCTCAGAAATGCCTGGTCCATTTCCACAACCCACGAGTATACTGTTACAATGGTTACTGTTACACCGTATTCTGATGATGGTAGAAATATAATTATTGAAACTCAACAATATAAAGATT